CGAAACACGAAACACAAAAACGTAAACAGTGCCCCGCGCCCCTACATCGGACCAGTCTGCGCCCCACACCCGAAACTCCAATCCCCAAACCCAAACCCCGACCCCCAAACCCCAAACTCCAAGCCCCAAACATTTCGACCCGAAATAAATGCATTATTCCCCACTGACGTGGTTGTCTCATCCAACAGGCGCAGCTAGGCTACATGGCCGTGTCCTGTCATTCCGTAACAAACGCACAGGTTTGGTTCAGGTTCAGGTTCTGGTTTGGTTTGGTTCAGGGTTCTCTCTCAAAGGGACTGGCTGGGACTGACTGGGACTGACGCGGCGATCCCACGCAGCAGGCGAAGCTAGGCTACATGGCTTGGTTCCGGTCCGTAGTAAACGGATGCCGGGGGGTGCGGCTGCAGCCTCACGCAGCGGGTTTGCTGGATACACACCCGCGGGAACCCACGGCCGGTGCCTTCACCGTTGTGCCCTGCAACCCTGCTGCGCACTTTTTGACGTGATTTTCGCATCCAGCAGGCGCAGCTAGGCTACATGGTGCCGCCACGCCCCGCGCTGCCGCCCCGCGAGGAGAGCGCGACGCCCCCGCACAGCCCTGGTGATGCTTCGTTGGTTGCTTAGTTAGTCACTTAGTTAGTTAGTTGGTTGGTTGGTTAGTTACTTACTTAGTTACTTACTTACTTACTTACTTACTTGGTTGGTTGGTTGGTTGGTTGGTTGGTTGGTTGGTTGGTTGGTTAGTTAGTGACGTAGCGACTTGGTTGCTGAATTACTTAGTAACATCAACCTCAAGACGCCATGCCCCCGCGCCGCCGCCCCGCGAGGAGAGCGCGACGCCCCCGCACAGCCCCGGTGATGGTTGGTTAGTTGGTTAGTTACTTGGTTACTTACTTAGTTACTTACTTACTTAGTTTCTTACTTAGTTACTTACATACTTAGTTACTTAGTTACTTACTTACTTACTCACTTAGTTGGTTACTTACTTACTTACTGACTTAGTTGGTTGGTTAGTTAGTTGGTTAGTTAGTGACGAAGCGACTTGGTTACTGAATTACTTAGTTACATCGGTCTCAAGGCGCCATGCCCCCGCGAGGAGAGCGCGACGCCCCCGCACAGCCCCGGTGATGGTTGGTTAGATAGTGAGTGGGTCACTTAGATACTTAGTTAGATGGTTGGTTGGTTGGTTGGTTGGTTGGTTAGTTCATTCGTTCGTTCAGTAACTAAGTCGGTACGTCACTAACTGATAGTTAGTTAGTTGGTTGGTTGGCTACTAAGTGACGTAGCGACTCACTTACTGAATTACTGAGTGACTTCGGCCTTAAGGCGCTACGCCCCCGCACAGCCCAGGTTCAGGGTCCAGGGTTCTAACCCTTAAGTGGAGAGTAGGCTCATACACCCTACCGTAGGACCCTAGGACCTACCTAGGACCTCTTGGCGGTCGATTTTGACCGCCTCGCCACTTGAGGGATAACTACATGCACAGACCATAAGCAATGCTGACGCAGCTTTCCCCGACAGGGTGCGAGTTCGTGGTATACAAGCGGTCGGCCTTTCCCGAACTCGGCCATGACCCTGCCGCGCGCGGGGGATGAGTTCTCAGGTCGAGGACTGAAAATAGGGTGGTTAAGCCTACGGTGTCGACTACGGTAGGGCCGCGTGCAGTGGATGAGAGAGAGAGAGAGAGATTTCACTGACACTCAGACAGATGCATTCTATCTTCTCGGGAAGATGCATTCTATCTGCCCTCAGTGCCGCTAGCTGCGGTGGATGAGAGGAGGGGTACCTCGCTCATAAGAAACCGCCCTCCCCCTAGGACCACCATAGGGCCCTAGGCATAGGCCTACTGCAGGTTCCTAGGGAGGGTTGGTTTCTTATGAGCGAGGTACCCCTGTATCTGCCCACTGTGTCGCCAGCTGCGGGGGATGAGTGGTCTCGTGCAGCCCTTATATCCCGTAAGTGGCGAGTAGGCTCGTATGCCCTACCGTAGGGCCCTAGGACCTGCCTAGGACCTCGCCGGTTTAGAAGACCTCGCTCTGCTTCAGTTAATCCGGGCTCCTCATTAATAAGCCCGGGTTAACTGAGGTACAGGGGTACCTCGCTCATAAGACACCGCCCCCCTAGGACCCTAGGACCCTACCGTAGGCCTATGCCTAGGGTGCTACGGTGGTCCTATGGGGGGGTGCTGTTTCTTATGAGCGAGGTCCCCTGTAGAGATAGAAGAGCCCAGATGACCGCGCGTGGTGGATGAGTGCAGGCTTTGAGGACTAGTGCGGGACGAGCCCGCCTCGGGCCGTTACATCGACTGTGTGCGGGGTGCTCTATATCGGGCACAATGGGCCCTTGGGAAATAAACATCGGAATCCAGAGAGGCCGATTTAGAAGACGGTTTTGAGGGCTTGTACTGTACCGACGCAGGCCCGTCTTGGGGCTCGTGGACTCTTGGATCACTCATCGCCAGGCTTGAGAGTAATGAAGAAGAGGGGGTTCCTGTTGAACGGAGCGCGCGCTCCTCAGGTAACCTCCCGCGTTAGGCGGAACATGACAAGGCAGTCACGACCGACCGTCTGGCTTCGGCGTCCGCGTGACCGGTCACGCGGGCGTTCACGAGCCTGCCGGCGGGGCTGTTCCACTCATCGCCAGGCTTGAGAGTAATGAAGAAGAACGAGAAGAGGTCGGTCATGACCCGGGAGAGAGAGAGAGATTTACTGACACTCGGGCAGATGCATTCTTTCTAAAAGAACAAAAAAGGCGTAAGATAGCATCATTGTATGCCCAACATAGCATATAAACCCTTATCTTCGGCGTCGGAAGCCTAAAATAGCGGGACCGATTCTGTCTTGTTCCGAAATTAGATCATCTGGTCACGTCCCACTGCAAATATGAAGCAGTTTTCGTGCATGCGGGAATCTCCGACGCATTCAAAATAAATGCCTGGCGGGATTAAATTGAATAATCGAGATTAATAAAGCAACTCTCTCTCAATGGATTCCACTTGTTCCCCCGCCCCCCTTTCCTCTCTGCACCCTTGCCCCCCTTTCCTACCACCAAGAGAACATCCGGGCATAAGCCTGTCCCTCTTCCCGGATCCGCACAGTACATTTGGTTGAGGTCCTTGTCTCACAAGGCCTTCACGGAAGGGAATATATGGTGGCCATGTTGGTTTCGATTTGTAATAAACCCACTTTCTCTTCTAAATATGGCCAGACATAATATGTCTGGCCATATTTAGAAAAATGTTTCGATCCGAAGTAAACACACTTTTATGTTTACTATGTTTACTTCGGATCGAAACATTTATGGCCACCATATATTCCCTTCTATGAAGGCCCTTTAGGATCAGGGCGGATCAGGTACAGGGCTGCTGCGCGCATACGCCCCCCCCCTACTACGGGGGAGGGCTAGGAGGTTTCTTGGAGCCATTTTCACCCATATCCTGCGGTTACTTTTCCGTCAAAGTCAATTATTTGTGGGTATTTCCGGCAACTGTTGCTGATTTCAAGGAAAGATGATAGATGGACGCAGGGCGTAAAATGACATGTAGCTCTCCCGCGTAGTAGGATCACCGTCATGGACCTACTGTAGGGTCTTGAGTGGGTGCACCTCCTTATGAGCGAAGTGCCCCCGTATTTTTTCGGAGAGGGAGAGGGAGAGAGAGGGGGGGGGCGAAAGAGAGAGAGAGAGAAAGGGAGGGAAAGAAAGAGAGACAGAGAGCGAGAGAAAAATGAGTTTATGTGGTCTCGCACCGTTGCACGATTTCAGTAAAGCTCCATCTCTCTCCAGTCAGCGCTGTTTAGGCTTCAGGGTTTAGGGTGTGGGGATTAGGGTTTAGGGTTTGGGGTTTGGGGTTTGGGGTTTACGGTTTAGGGATTAGGGATTGAGGATCAGGAATTAGGGATTAGAGTTTGGGGGCTACGGTTGAGGGTTTACGGTCCAAGTTTTGGGGGTTAGGGTTTAGGGTTTAGGGTTTAGGGTTAACGGTTTAGGGTTTACGGTTTACGGTTCACAGTCTGGGGAACAGAGTTAAGGGTTTAGTGATCAGGGTTGGGGGTTTAGGGTTAAGGGTTTAGGGTTTGGGGTTTAAGGTTTACGGTTTAGGGTTGAGGGTATGGGGCATAGGGTTTAGGGTTTATGGATTAGGAATTAGGGATTAGGGTTTAGGGTTTAGGATTTAGGTTTTGGGGTTTATGGTTCAAGGTTCAGGGTTTAGGGTTTAGGGTTTAGGGTTTAGGGTTTAGGGTTTAAGGTTTAGAGTTAAGGGTTAAGGTTTTAGGGTTAAGGGTTAAGGGTTAAGGGTTTAGGGTTTAGGGTTTAGGGTTTAGGGTTTAGGGGTTAGGTTTTAGGGTTCAGGGTTCAGGGTTTAGGGTTCAGGGTTTAGGATCTAGGGTTTAGGGTTTAGGGTCTAGTGTTTAGGGTTCAGGGCTTAGGGGTTAGGGGTTCACGGTTTACGGTTTAAGTTTTAGGGTTGAGGGTTGAGGGTTTGGGGCTTGGGGTTTGGGGTTGAGGGATTAGCGTTTAGGGATTAGCGTTTAGGGATGAGCGTTTAAGGCTTAGGGATCAGGGTTTAGGGTTTAGGGTTTAGGTTTTAGTGTTTAGGGTTTGGGGTTTAAGGTTTAGGGTTTAGGGTTTAGGGTTTTGGGTTTAGGGTTTAGGGTTTAGGGTTTAGGGTTTAGGGTTTAGGGTTTAGGGTTTAAAGATTGGGGTTTATAGGGTTATGGGTGTTTTTCCAATCATCGCTCCCTCGTGATTAAAGCACTCATGATTCATGTGCCAATATTTATTTATTAAATGGCGAGTAGGCTCATACCCTACCGTAGGGCGTATGAGCCTACTGGTCACTTAAGGGATATTGGCCAGTCACGAGGTTGGAACACCTGATCCTGGTACAAATATTTACAGGGCCCTAGGACCTTTCTAGGGCGAGTTAAGGTAAATATTCACCCTATTGGCACTTAGGGGATACACCGGACCTAGGCACACGCGCCTGTGTCGGCCAACTCTCAATCCTAAACCGAGTGGTTAAGGCGGCAGCTTTAGGCGCTGCTCTCCTATGGAGGCGTGCGTTCGAGCCACCGGTGTCAAACAATCACTTTTTGTTTTGCTCCTTTTTGGGTCTCTTTTTGTGATTCATTAACTTTTTGCACGAGTTGGTATTTTTTTGTTTCCAATCGCATCAGGATTCTGACGAATGTGAGGAATGACTTCAGATTTGAAGTTTCAGCTAGGCTCCGCAAGTCGCCCCGCTCCTCTCCGTGGTGGCGTCAGGCAATGACGTTTCATGAATCTTTGAGGCTCTAAAGAGCTCATATCATCGAAATCAAAAACAAGCCTGAAACCAAGTTAGGTTCATTCCCGTTTCAAGCCAGGAATCTTTTCCTGGCTTTTTTTCTTTTGCCGTTCGGGACTCGTCTGAAATCGCTCTTTGAAATCGCTCTCAAATGGAACTGGAATCTCTAACCTTCAAATCTGAAGCTTCTTGAGTTGAGGCATACCTTCTCGACCTTTTGGCTGGTTTAGGACTACCATAGGGCCCTAGGCATAGGCCTACTGTAGGGTCCTAAGAGGAGGCGGTTTCTTATGAGCTAGGTACCCCTGTACAGTCGACCTAACTGCCCGAGGCGGGCTCGTCCTGGACTATGTCCTCACAGAGGGGCCCCTCGTAGAAGAATTGAAGAACGCATCTCCGATCCAACGCGTCACACAAATCAAAGCAAACGCAAACCAAACCAAACCAAAAGCCGGCCGCGCTATGTCATGCACACACGCAGCGTTCCCCTCGACATTTATTGATACACGCAAACGGAGTTCCCCCCTATGCAAAATCTCCCGACACCCGCCCAGTCACCGGTTTCTGCTGCGATCCTCTGCACCGGGGGGGGCCTGAATGTGATCCGAAAGGAAGCATGTCTTTTCTGCAGAACAAGTTCCAGTGTCCGCCTATGTTGGGAGCTCGAAGAACCTAAAGGACCTAAAGGAGCACTGGGGCACACGTCCCACGCACCTGCAGTCTCACATCTCTCAAAGGCCACTGGACTTTACCTCGAAGCCAGTAAGCCCCCCTTCAATCTCTCGCTCTCTCTCCCACACACTCTCTCTCTCGGGACGAACGCAGGCCTTGACAGCGTTGCGCAACTTAGTGGCGTCTCTCTGTCTCCCTCTCTCTCTCTCCCACACACACCCTCTCCCTCTCCCTCTCTCTCTCCAGCTCTCTCTCTCCAGCACTCTCTCTCTCTCTCCCACACACACACACACTCTCTCTCAGCAACGCACTCAGGCCTTGACGGCCTTGCGCGACTTAGTAGCAAGCTGCCCGCACGCCGCCGCATCATCGTCCCCTGCTTAGGCTCTCGGGGTTAGGGTCCAGGGTTCGGGTTTCGTGGCGTCTCTCTCTCTCCCTC